CTCATACACAGCTGCTGCCACTAGCACCCTGCCCCAGCCTTCCCTGCAGCTTCTCAGCATGAAGCGCAGTAGGTTCCTGTCGAGCTCCCCTTGGTTCCAGGAGCTCTAGGGAGTCCTTGTGCTCATTTGGGTCAGCAGCTGTTTATTGAAATGGGAAGAGGGCTGCGTTTGCGGGTGAGGCAGTTAGCTGGGTGGTTTTCTTTGCATCCTGCTAGGGATCGTGGTTACTACACAATTCCAGACTCCCTGACCCAGTGGATCTTCAACATTTCCCAGATTTGGATCTTCTCTTGCAGGAAAACATTAGAGCAGTACTTCTCAAATTGTGATTCTGGACCAAGTGCCATCAGCATTGCTGGGAGCTTGTAAGACATGCAAGGCTCTGGGTACTTTATTAAGGACTCTCAGTAATTAGAGAACTATACAGAATCAGGCAGCTGCTGCAATTGCAGGCTACAAGTCTGGTCACTGTCTCTCTGAGTGTCTTATCCCAGCATGGCCCTTTCCTTAAGCTGCTGGCTGTGGCTCTTTTGTCGGCTAAGATGCTGCTCCTGCATCCGAAAGTGATCATGCACTGCTTGTTCCCTGGTCATGGATAGTGCAGGGACAGGAACTGCTAGAAGCCTTCCCCGTGTTTTGGAGGCTCCGATCCCTTCCAAACCCTGGTGCTTTCATACATATGTTCCTTCTCACCAGCTTTGTTACGTCTTGAAAACTGGCACGCAGATTCCTTGCCTCTTCTGCACAGCCTGGTGCAGTGTACTTGGGAGCTTACAGAAGGGGTGTGGAAATAGGGCTGGTCTGCAGGGAGTTTGTGAACTGCGCTCCTCATAGGGTGCTCCCTCCCCTTGTACTCCTCTGGTGTCCTCAGCCCCATCTCTTAGCACAGCTCACTGTCACCTTGCTACTGTGTTGTGAGCTCCTTGAGGGCAGCAGTCTGTCTGGCTTCACACTGGCCTGCTGCCTGGTGTGCAGCCACCTGAACAAAAACAAGGTACATTGTTGTAAGGGGACAGGGCTCGTCCCATTGAGCAGTGTCGGGAACAGTGCCTGTGAACACGACAGCATGCCCAGGTTTGAGGCATTTCTTTCTTTTCCTGTTGGCAGTGCTTCTTCAGTGAGGAAGCATAGTGTAGTCTGCCTGTCACACTGGCCATAGGGAGAGCTGTGGTCCACCACGGGTAGATTTTTCTTCTGACCTTGGGTTCAGGTGGTGGGAGCTGTAGTAGGAATTGGGTGGGTCAGGTGTGTGAGCTCAACCTTTGCTAAATCATTGACTTTGGGCCCTGCCACCACCTGTCACAAACCTGGCTCTGAGCTAGCCAGCTACAGCACTCTCCCCAACCTCCTGACCTCAGCAGCCTTTTTTCTTATTTAAATAAATGCATGTATTTGGGGTTGGCAACATAGTGTGATTGGATACATATAAATAGTAAAATGATTACAGTAGTGAGGCAGGTAGATTAACATGTCTGTCATACTAATATGTGGCAAGAGTAATGAAAATCTGGTTTGACAAAATAGGTGCGTAAAGAAAACCCCTTTTTTGTTTTTTTTTCTTGTACCAGGAATCGAACTCACGACCTTGCGCTTGCCAGGCAGGCACAGTGCCGCTGAGCTAAATCCCCAGCCCTCAAAAACCCTTAAGATGATACAGTTTTATCAGTTAGTACTCATGGTGTACCTTAGAGCTCAAGACTTATTTATCTGACATGTCTGCTGTTTTGTATGTTGACATACATCTCCCCCTCTTCTGTCCCACTTACAAGGGAGAACATGCAGGATTTCTTTATCTTCAGTTAGCATGGTGTCCTCTATATCCATTGTGTGGCAAATGGCGGGATCTCCCTTTTCAAGGCTAAATAATAATTGTGTGTGTGTGTGTGTGTGTGTGTGTGTTATTTATCTCCCATTGCTGAGACAAAATACCTTACACCCAAAATTAAGGAAGGAAAGGTTTATTTAGCTCACAGTTTGTGGAGGTTTCAGTCCATATTCAGTTGGCTCCAAAGCAGGGTAGCGTGGCAGAGGGCAACACTTCAGAGTGGCAGAAGACAGCAAGAGCAACAAGAGCAAAAAGGGGGGCAGAGCAAGCCTCCTTTCCTCCCTGCTATTGTATGAGGACCCTGGTGCAATGTTAAGCTAAACTTATAAACTTTTCAAGTTGACACAGTGAACAACATCCTAGAGTGGCGAGGGCATGTCCTCTCTACTCCAAGTGGAACTGCTGAGTCACTTAGTTAAGCTGCTAAATATCACTCTGTGTGTGTGTGTATTAGATACAAGTTAAATGGAACATTTTCTCTGTTTATCTGTTGATGGACCTTGGTGTGTGGGATATGATGAATAATGCTGTAGTGAATGTGCAAGTGCCTATGTCTCTCAAGCAGTATATCTGAAAGTGACCTTGGGCTGCCTGTGCCTCGGCCATTGGTAGCGCATGGAGGAGAATGTTAAAGGACATTTTCCTCGTGCTTAGCGGGGCTCTTCATTGCTTCCAAATTGTCTAGCTTTCCCACACTCCGGTCTTCTTTCTGCCAACCCTTCGGACCTTGGGCCTTCACTGGCCCTCATGGGAAACTGACTGGACAAGCTTCCTGACTTGATATTTACTTGGTCTTTCAGTGTAAGGATCTTTCTGCCAGACACCAGTCTATGCATTTCCATTTGGACTGCATGCTAAAATAAATTCTGGTAGCACTATAGGACATGTGTGAGAATTGTAAATTGTGTATTCTGCTGTATGACATTTGTAGGAGTAAAAGATAATCCAGATAATGAATTTTTAAAGACAGTCATGGCTTAAATGTTCGTTTGTGCGTCTTTGCCGCTTTTTTGTGCCCTTCCCCTCACATTAGGGTTTTTCTTTCTTCTTTTTTTTTTTTTTTTTTTTTGGTCTTTTTGAGACAGGGTCTTACTATGCAGTTCAGGCTGGCCTTGAGCTCACTTTGGAGCCCAGGCTGGTCTCGAACTCGCAGCAATCCTACTGTCTCAGCCTCCCGAGTGCTGGGATTATAGGCATGTGCCACTATGCCCAGCTCCAGATTAGGGATTTTTAAGCATGCTGGCCAACTGCTCTACCACTGAGTAACATCCTTAGTCCACTTTCATTTTTTTTTTGTCTTTTTGAGACAAGGTCTCACTATGCAGTTCAGGCTGATCTTGCGCTCACTTTGTAGCCCAGGGTGGCCTCGAACTCTCAGTGATCCTCCCGCCTCAACCTCCCGAGTGCTGGGATTACAGGTGTGTGCCTCCATGCCCGGCTCTCCCGCTTTCAATATTTTTGAGACAGAGATTTACTTTGTAGTTCAGGCTGGTTTGAAATGCATAGTGATCTCCTGCCTCAGCCTCTCCAGTGCTGGGATTATAGGTGTGTACCACCATACCTGGCTTTCCAGGACACCCCCCCCACTGTCACCCCCTTAATTTTGAGAGAAAATCTTGCTAATAATTTATTGAGGCTGGCTTTGAACTGTGATTACAAGCATGGGCCACTTAGCAGTCCATTGTCTTGTGCACTGCTTTTCCAGGAGCCTGCCTTCTGGCCCCAGTGGTCCTGAGGCTAGGCAGTTAGTTCAGCCAGGCATGGAGAGTTAGTGGACAGTACTGACCTTTTAAGAAAGTTAGCGTCTAAGCCAGGCATGGTAGCACACACCTGTAGTCGCAGCATTTGGGAGGCTGAGGCAGGAGGATTGCTGGCTTGGGCTACATAATGAGTTCAAAGAAGCCTGAACTACAAAGAGAGAATGTCCTTCAAAATAAATAGATACTCAGGCAGATGAGCAGCTTCTTTTCTCTCCACAGCAGGCCTGGTAATTGAAAACACTGGGCGTAGAGTCCTCTGAGTTGTGTGGGGTTCACTTTCTGTGTGATGACCTCAAGCATCGATAACTTGTGCATTTATCTTTTAAGTGGATCTGGCATTTGTGATCTTTAAAGACTTGGCTACTTAAGTCTTGCTGGAAGGTTGGCTTCTGCTTGTCTTTCTGGGCTGGGTCAAATTGAATGGATCTTGGTGAAATGGGATAACAAATGTGAGAGCTTTGCAATAGGCTGGGCAGATAAGTAATGACCGTGTGGTGGAAGAGCTGCTAGGAATGGTGGTCTGTCCTTTCTCGATCAAGACGCTCTGGCTGGTGCAGTGGTATGCTTTCGTGGTCCTGGTTACCTGGCATGCTAAGGTGGGAGGATCCCAAGTTTGAGGTCAGCCAGAGCAAATTGGCAAGATCTTGTCTGAAAATAAAAGGCAGGAACAGAGCTCAGTGATAGAATCCTTGCTTGAGGCCCTGTATTCAACCCTAGCTACTGCCAAAAACCAAAATAAAATTCCTGTGGAACTCGGTATTACAGCCATTGATAGTGAACTCTTACTCTGATTGTGAACTGCTGGAGAGAGAACTGTTGATTATAAAGACTTATTTTCCTGTTCTTAGGACTAGGGGCTGTCTGTTAGAAACTTCCTCTTTTTTTTTTTTTTTTCCCTGTCTTTTTGAGACAGGGTCTTGCTATGCAGTTCAGACTGGCCTTGAACTCACTTTGTAGCCCAGGCTGGCTTGAACTTGCAATGATCCTCCTGCCTCAGCCTCCTGAGTGCTGGGATTACAGGTGTGAGCCACCACGCCCGACCCTTGTCTGTTAGAAACTTCTATGTGATGTCAGTTTGGGCTGGAGAACATGGTGCTGGAGCCTCAGTGCTTGTCTCCTTCTTCACCCTCCCAGGGCTCACCATTAGATCCAGAGACTGCCAAGCAAGACCCAAGACTGGGAGTCAGTGCCCTGGGGAGAGCTTGGGATCTGGGTGTGCTGATACGTCTCTCAGCAGTGGTAAGTTGGCGCGAAGGGCCTGGAACCCCGGCCAGGGCTAAGCAGTTTCATGTTTATGCAGATGGAGTTCTATACCATTCACTCACGCCCCTTTCTTTTACATCCTGTTGGTGTTGATCAGGGACTCTGAGGGCAAAGAATGGAGAGTGAGGCTACCACCTGAAGTGTTATTGGAGCTGTGCCTGTCCCTGCAGCCTGCCTGCTCTCTGCAGAGCATCGTGGAACAGCTCTTCACTCTGCACAAGAATTGAGATCCAGACATGGGGACTCCAGCCTGTTACTCCAACTGGGCCTGCCCCGTAACAGCACATTTGGCTGCAGAGCTCGTCAGAGGGTGAATCCGCGGAGGAGTACAGTGCATTCGTGACAGTCGCCTTCCAAATGTATGAGAGTTTGGGGGGACGTTTTAGGTCTAAAATGTCCCCAGATGCCATAAAGCAGAATACATGCTTTTTCTCAATAAAAAGCATTTAGAAATACGGTATTTTTGTGTTTCAACTTTAAAAAAAGTCTCACATACCAAAGAATTAGGCTTACAGACTTTAATTGATACTACGATTAAGGATAATCAGTTTCAAAGTTACATATATTTGGGTAGTTTTAAAATAAAATTCTTCAAAGTGGAGTCCATTAGGGGAATTAGAAACTACTTATTAGCTGAGTAAATAAACTTTTATATATCAGAATGGTATGATGTAGCTGAAGTAATTTTTAGGGATTTATTAGCTTTATATGCTTACATAAAAATCAAAAGGTTGAAATTTAATAGAAAGAATTGCATCAAGAAAATAGAAGTAATGGAAAGGCTTTGGTAGAGTGAGATGGAGAAGCCTCTGGTAAAACTGATAACAACTGTGGGTCTCCACAAGGTCAAGGTCTGGCCTGGTCGTGATGTATACTCCTGCCTGCTCCATCCTCAGCCTAATTGATGTTGGCTCCTAAGAGCAGGAAGTTCTAGAGAGAAGGCAAAAAACAGTCAAGAGAAGTCATTTGCTGAGCCACCCAGGTGCCTAGGTTTCCCACATTAGTCAAAAGCCAAGTCAGTGCAGACTCCAAGCTTAGGCCTTGGGAGGGTTCATGATACACTGGTCCTCTCAGTATTTCCCAAGTCACTGATTTGTGGAAGACATCCATAAATGTCACTTTCTTTTTTTCTTTTTGTCTTTTAGACAGGGTCTCGCTATGCAGTTCAGGCTGGCCTTGAACTCACTTTGTAGCCCAGGCTGGTCTTGAACTTGAAACGACCTTCCTGCCTCAGCCTCCTGAGTGCTGGGATTACAGGCGTGTGCCACCATACCTGGCCATGAATGTCACTTTCCTCCAAAAATATTCCTTCAGAAGAAAAAGGTAAACCTGGGTGCTGCCTGAGCTGCTCAGTTTACTAGAATGCATCCTGGGTCTCCTTGCAGTGGGAATATCCCGTGAACAGTGAAGACACTGGCAAGGAGCACTTGTGGATTTAGATCCAAAAGTGCACCCCTCGCTTTGTCTCTGAACAAGGGTGGGAGGGCTGGTCAGGGACTGGGACTCATTAGATTACAGCAAGTTCAGGATGCTCCTCAACCCAAATGGCGTCTGATCTGACCTTTGCTCACTCTCCTGCCGTACAGGGCTGAAGTACCAGGTACTCAGTAAATGTGCTCCTGCAGGCTTAGGAACTGAGCTAGTCCATGTAGGTGAGCTGCCAGATCGTCAATACCTGCCATTTTCACTCTGAAGTTAATTCTTTTCCTGGTTCCCACTGGCCTCCCAGCCCTTGAGGCAGCCTCCCAGCGCGTCTCAGCAGCCAAACCCCATTCACTCACCTTGTGGATGTGGAGCTCCACACTGCTGAGGGAGGTCTTCCTGGGAAGAGGGAGTGGGAAGCCCTCCTCAAGCTTTGCTGGAGGAGAGAGCAGAGAGGTGAGCTGGGCACAGAAGACCAGGAGGAGAAGACGCAGTCACAGTATTGCAGCCGCTATGGATTCAGGGCTGGTTTGGGGTGGGATAGTGAGACCAAGGCCTGGGAAGTGTAGCCTCATCAGGAGTGGACTGATGAGGAGAGCGAGCCCTTTGTGACCCTGTTGGCCCATATGAGAGCCCTCACCCACCACCCAAAGTAGCTGGGGCGGGGAGCCGGGCCTGTACCCAATGACTCCTTCCATCAAGCTGGCTGCCCGGCTCCTCCCAGATCAAGTTATCTGCTCTTACGTCTTAGTGGTAAAAGGCAGATGCTGAGGTCAGCTGGAGAGGGCCCTAGGTGGTGGAGGAAGACTGCATATTAGGAGCCTCTGTATCGGTCACCCAACAATGTCACCTCCCCTGGTCGCGTGCCAGGATTGAAGACTCATGGGATGTTCCTTCTCCATCTGTCCTCTGTACCTTAGCCCTCATATCCTGGAAGCCTTGTCTGAACTGCAAGTCCATTCTTGGCACTTCCTCCCAGCTCCTATACCTCCCCATTCTTTTTGTCATGGTGCTCAACATTGTATAGCCATTGCCTGATACCTGCCTGCCCTCCCATGAGGGCAAGGATCAGGGACTGCCAGGGCCCCAGGCAGCAGAATGGCTCAACTTGTGGAATGAATGAATGAGTGAATGAATGAAGCACAAAGTCCTATGGAAAGGGTAGAGTGCAGTCTTTGCACTATGGAGCAGTCAGCAACAGTTCCACTTACCGTTGAGAGAGGGGTATATGGTATTGAGTGCGTAGTAGTTGAAGATGGTTTCCATCAGCTCCACCTAGAGCACAAGAGTCACCAGATCAGAGACCAAGCAAGACTTGAGTAAAAACAGGAGTCAGGAACATCTGGCCCTGCCTCTGGAGACACTGACCAGTCAGTCATCCTACCTAAAACAGGCCCCTGGTCACCACCATGATGGATAAGTGTCCCCTTCCCCAAATCCTCCCCTCTCTGAGCTCATTCTCCATAAGTACAATAGGACTGGAGCTATCCTGAGGCTACTTAGTGGTGATCTACCTTATGTGCATATTTTAGATTTTATTGCAGAAATACTAATGTATTTGGTTATAGACTGATTCTCCAGAGTCTGCTGGAAGTGTTATATAGTGTATGGTGTATGCACCATATTTTTCTCACAAATTCTCAACCTAAATCCATTGTGAAACCCATTATTCGGTGACAAGGCTGGGGCTCAGTCCCCAGAACTTAGAAAAAGCCAACCCTGTGTTACTCCTATTCGAATAGTGAGCATAGCCGAGAGCTTTTCATGTGAGACATTTCATCAAAGTGTCTTACTTAACTCATTGCCTTGCTTTGTATTGCAGCTCCCAAATGCTGTTATTATTCTCATTTACAGTAAAAGAAACAGGCTCGGAAAGGTCACGTGATTTGCCCATGGTCACACAGCAGGTGGCAGAGCTGGCATCTTCCTCCAAAGCTCATGCCCTTAGGGTCTTATGTCCTGTTGCCTCTTTAGCTGTCAGAGCCATTCATGCCTGACTAACTTTCGGATTGGCTATCGCATTTCCTGTGAGCCTGCAAGGCATTTTCGGGTCAATCTCCTGGAGCTCCATGACACCCTGAGTGGGGAAAACATTCAAGAGATGCTGAGAGAAATGACTCACATTGATGTCGCTGACGTTGGATTGTTTCAGTTCAAGCTTCAGCTTACTGTGTAGAGAAAGAAAAATGCGTGGATCACTGAGCCATGGCTGGTAGTTTCTCCCTGTCACCCCAGTGGAATTTGCATTGTGCTTGGGGGCAGAGGTGTTTTGCTTGGACTGGGTACCTGGCAGTTCCTCTGCAGTGTGTTAGTTGTGGGCTCAGGGCTTGACGCACACACTGATTGGAGAGCAAGTGCTGGGGTTAAGACTAAGGTTTGCTGAGTGTGCTCATAACTTGAAGAAGTCATGATGGTGTAAATAGTAAGTGGAAAAAGTGCAATACAGAAATGTATGCACTATGTATTTCCAATTACACAGGAAATACTTGTTTTTCCCCAAAACCTGGGAGGAAATAAAAGTACTAAGGGACATGGTCTCTGTGTGGCAAAGTTAAGGGTGATTTTGTTTTTAAATACTTTTGTAATCTCTAATGTTTTCTTGCAGTGAGCATGCATTATTTGCATGATGTGGGAATACACAATGAGCATGCATTATTTGTGTAATGATGTGCGGGAGCCTGAGTTATCACATGGAAATGGACAACGTGAAGGAAAAAGAGAAGCACTGCAAATGATGGTGGCATGTAGATGACACCCCCTGGAGTGAAGGCAGGCAGGATACTCAGGATACCTGGATCACTGCCGCTGGAGAAACCAAATCCCAGCTTCCTCCATTGATCCCCCTCCTGACAGGCCTTCTTTTTGGCTGCTGTGCTGGTTCCCTTGATCAGGAATTCTCCTCTAGAGCCCTCTGAAGGAGATGTTCATTTTGACATCTCAGGGCATGTTACCAGCCCATGAACGTCCAACCTAAGGCCAGGAAGTAAACCAAGCATGGCGGTGCACACTTGTAATCCTAGCACTCTGGGAAGCTGAGGCAGGAGGAACACAAATTTGAGCCCAGCATGGGCAGTTAGTGACTTAGTGAGACCGTGTCTTGAAATAAAATATTTAAAACACAGCTGGGGCATATAGCTCAATGAGAAGGCCTGGGTTCAATCCCTAGTACTTAAAAAAAAAAGAAAAGCCAAGAAGTAGTCATCTGGCAAACCTTAGCAGGTTGCCTCACGAAGAGTAGGTGAGACATAGGTCTTAGTGCAGAACACAATGAACCCAGGAGGCAGTACAGTCCCTGCTGCACAAAGCCTGAACTCTTACCCCACTGACTCACAAATTTGACATACTTGTTTATTGACTGGGATTCTGGGCAGGGGAGCCGTCGGCTGTGGCATGGAGCACTTCAACCTTCCATCCAAAATCTGCTCTGTGATGTGTACAGTTGATGATTTTTTTCAGTTAGGTCCAAAGTCCTTGTGACATATCTTCCCGCCCTGAACTAGACTGTCCTGCATGTGTTCCTGCCTTTATGGTGTCAGATCCTCCACAGAAGCCTGAGAGGGACAAGGGAGGAGCCCAGGGCTACAGGGGACCTGAAGATAGCATCTGCAACCTGGCAGCTTTGCTGTAGTAATTCTTGCTTTCTCCTTGAGGCATTGTCACTGTGCCTTCTCCAGAGGGGCACTGGATTGGAGGACACCCTAGATCTGGTGGAGATCTGTTTCCAGGGGTCACCTCTGGTCCCATCAGTGAATCTGGCCACTATCAGGACATCCCCATCCTCCTTCATTCCTCTCCTACTCCCTGGTCTCTTACCTTCCTGTGGTCACTGAGCCAACGATCCTACTGGAGTTCACACTGATGGTGATGGAAACACTGGTGTTCTAGAAAAGCAAAAGCCTGCTTAGTCACTGTGTTGGCTTCTGATCCTGAGGACAAGTCTCCAGAAGTAGAAGCTCTAGGTATAAGACCATATGGGACACATGGGCAGAAAGCAACTCCCCAGGCTTATAGATAGAGGGTATAGAGAGAGGGTAGCTCCAAAGGGGACACTCAGAAAGAGGGGCTGAGGGTTGCTAGATCTCCATCTTAGTGGAAGTGTTGAGAAAGGGAACAAGCCCGAACTGAAAGCACAGAGCATTGGAACTGAGGTACTTTCAGTTTGTAAGTGTGACCGAGCACTTTGGAGCAGACCACCAAGGAACATTCACAAAAGCCCTAAGCCCTGGAGAAATGTACGGACAGCACCTGCTGGCATCCGTGTTTGAGAGGAAGGCCATCCCACCAAGGGGTTGCACTGGACCAGGTGACTGAATCTGGAGGCCCCTCTAGGACCTGCCCCTGTCCTGTCCAGTTGTTCTACCTGGGTCACTTCCTGTCTACCTGTGATACCTGGGTGAGTGCTCGTGATGGTTTCATTGGACAGCTTAATTTGAAACAATTCATGTTGTAGAGGCTTGTGGCAGGGAAAAAGGAACACTATCGGATCCCAGGCAAAGGACAGAGAGGCTGGCTTCTGCTCAGGTGTACACAGTTTCAATACTGTCTTGAACAGTTTCTAAGAAGTATTAAAGGCGGACACAAAAGGTGCTGTAGCAGAGACTATGTTTTTTAGGGGGAGTATGGGGTACTAGGACTCAAACTCAGGACCTCACACTTGCCAAGCAGGCGCTGCACCACTGAGCTGCATCCCTAGCCCTGAGGCTGCTACGTTTTAACCAAGATTCACTTGATGTATCACCTGCGCACACAACTGGACTACATTTCCCAGCTTCTCTTGCAGTTAAGTGTGGCCATGGGACTGAGTTTTGGCCAATGGAACCTTTTTAAAATTTTATTTTTATTTTAAATAATATATATATTTTATTTTAAAGAGAAAAGAACCAAAATAAATTAACAAACACACAGACATAAACAACACAACACAAAAACAGTACAAGCAATACAAAATTTCAGACAGGGTGATAGGAAGTTAACAGTGGTTATTGTATTACATATTGTTATCTTCAAATTAGTTACTTCAAATTAGACCAATGGAGCTTTGAACCTCCATGTGAATTTTAGGATCAGCTTGTCAGCTGGCTTCTAAAGAAAGCAGCTGGGATTTTTAAAATAAAAATTGTGATGAATTTGTAAATCAGTTTAGAGAGTATTGCCAAAGACTTATACCTTCTTTTAAAAGGTAATTTGATACATTTTATTAATAACTTAAATAGAGTAATGTTTTAGATTTTTTTAAAAGTATATAGTAAACTAGCCAGGCTTGGGGGTTCATGTATGTAATCCTAGCCCTCAGGAGGCTGAGGCAGTAGGAATACAAATTTGAGGCCAGCCTGGACTACAAAGTAAAACCATGTTAAAAAAAAATTATAGTAAATAACTGGGAAAGTTAAAAGTATCACCTCAGCTGGAGTGAATGATTAAAGATTTCTAGCAACTCTGACAGTCTAGTATCTGATGAACTGTGCCCTCAGGAAGCCTGGGTGCTTGGCCCAGGAGGATAGGGCTCACTGCAGAGTTTCCACATCTACCAGCTGTGTGGCTATCATTCTGCTGAGGGAGGGGCTCCCACCACAACCCCTTGGTACCCCTGTCAGGGCCAGACTTACCACCCTGAGCTGGAAGAGTGGCCTGCGGCTGGAGGAGTTGGGCAGGAGGGCGAAGGCTTGGATGTCTATCACTGGCGAGAGGGTCACATTCCCAAGGGTGAATGTCAGGAGTGGTTCTGACTCAGGCGATGCCTCAAGTTCTACCTCCATGTTGGGGTATGACCTGGCCAGCTGCAGAGGGAGCAGACACTCAGGGGATAGCAGGAGACATGCCAAGGGACCTTGAGATCCACAGGGGAAGACCAGATGTCAGGTCCCCAAGGAGCAAACTCTAAGGGCACTATCCAGTTCACCATAGGATAGAGGACTTGTATTTTCCAGAGCTTCTTTCCAAGAGACGGCTGTTGTTGGAAGAGCCACTGTGATAGTGTCTGGGGTGGGAGGAGATACCCCAAGGGACTGTTTGAGTGACAGTTGTGGTCACCATGCTGCCTACAATGCCAGCCTGCCTCGTCAGGTGGGTAAGTTGGGGGTTGGGTCAACAGGCTCTTTTCTACTCTGCCTGTACTGTTTTTCATCTGGGCCTCCAACTAAACATCAAATGAATATTGATGGTTATAGGCTTAGCCCCAAATTATTAGCTATCCAAGATGCCCCTGTTTGTGCCTGGAAGGGTCTTGGAACATTTGCACTGGTTGAATTTTTTTTTGTATGTATGTATGTATGTATGCATATAATTTATTGTAGTACTGGGAATTGAACCCAGGAGTACTCAACCACCAAGCTACATTTCCAGCTTCTTTCTCTCCTCTTTCTTTATCTTTCTGTCTTTCTTTCTGGTGGTAGAACAGGGTCTCACTAAGTTGCCCAGGCTGAACTTCAGCTTGTAATCCTCCTGCCTCAGCCTTCCAAGTAGCTAGGTTTACAGATGTGCACAACCATGCCTGGCTTGGTTAAGTGCTTTTATCTCCCATCTAAGCAACCCAGTGGAGCAGACACTATGGTCATGCCCATGTGAGAAATGGGGAAACTGAGGCCCAGCAAGGTTGAATTCCAAAGTTAGAAAATAGCAGACCTAGGATTCAAATCCAGGCAGTCCACATCCAGATCTTGCATCTTTGTGTCACAAGGAGTCAGAGGATGATAGGAATTTTGTGCAACAAATTAAGAGATTTTATTTTTTCTCACCATTCTAATAAGTGAGCTGTTTGTCTACACATAACTCACTGATGTCCAAATATACACCCTGGATCTGACCTAGGTTGAGGGGGTTGGCTTGCCCTCTGGGATGAATGGGCCGAGGTCTTACCTGAGGGATCAGTGCCTGGAATGAACTGGTGTGCAATAGGATGGGGGAGTTTAGGGGCATCTGCAGTAAGAGAAGCAGGAAGTTACTGGAGAAACAGGACACCATGGTGGTTAGAGGTGTAGACTTTGAAGCCCCACATCTTGGCTTTAGATTCTGCTTCCGCCACTTTTTAGCTGACTCGTTGGCAGCCAGCTTTGTCAGATTCTTCAGCTATAAAAGAAGGACAGTGACAGCGCTTATCTTACAGGTTTACAGATTAAACAAGATACTACGTGGGTAAAGCATTCGGAGTTGTGCTTGGCACATACACTGTGCTCAATGAATATCTGGTGGTATTACTTACTGTATCTCAGAATGATCCTCCAAAAGATCACCCAGAGCAATCTGACACTTAATAATATGGCTTCCCTGGACTCCTTTTGTAACCGTCTTACACAGAGCCTGTTCTCTTCCCACCCCTGTGACTTAGTGATCTTTGAGCTCTGGGCATCCCAGCTGGCCCTGTCCTCCGCGTCTGTTCCTTGATTCCTTCTTCCTGTGTTTGTCTGGACTGCAACTGTGGCGCTTCTCACAGGGGGTGGCCGTGGGAGTCGCTACTCAGACCTCCTTCAAGCTGCACTGGGGTGGGGTCGTTGGCTGCAGTCCGCCCCCTTCCTGTGCAGATCCCCATGCTGACCGTGCTGAGGCTACATGACCCCCAGATGGCTCACAGCCCCTGTGGAGCACAGCAGGTGGCAGAGCAAGGGGACTTTGCTAGAGAGCTCCCAGGTGTCCAGGTGGTCAGTTATCCACTTTACTAGGCTAGAATAAGAGGAGATGAATTCGTAAAGGATGTTGGGTCGCCCTGTTCTGCGGTCCTTTGAGAGTAACACTACCCTCATGTGTTAGATTTATCAGCTAGATGGGGTACCAGCTTATTGCCAAGACAGCCTCCAAAAGATCCCAGAAAGGGTCATTTTTTTAATGGCCCTGGAGTGCAGAGGGAATGAAAGAGAAGAGGAAGGTGCTAGGAGGGAAAGTACTGAGTACTGAATAGAAATTATTAGGGTCCACCTGTGCAAAGGGGAAACTGAACCATAGTTTGGATTTCAATCCACATTTGTTAGGGTCCAAATTCCACATTCTTTTCCTGCTCCCTAGGTACCCACCGAGAGCCTGTGCTCCCAACCCGAAGCTCTCTCCCTCCCTCCTGGGAGCCCAGCCTCCTTCCTACTCGCCACTCACGTGTTCATTTCGGATGATGACCTTCATGCTCCCAGCGTGGTGGTAAACCCGGCTGGCTGTGTTGACCATGTATTCAGAGACTGCCAAGTAAATCATGTGGTCATGTTGTGGGGGCAGCGTCATGGGTGGCACTTCAAAAGGCACCAGTGAGGGCTGGCTTTGGCTGAAGAACTCCCCCTGGAGACAGAGGATTGATCAGTGCCCCGCCCCCCACACCCTGCCTTGGTCTAGCCAGTAAGGGTACCAGGCAGATGTGCCAGCCTGCTCAGGAAGGATGCTAAAGATCTAGGTCCTGACAGCTGCCTCAAATCGCCCCATCAGAGCAGCAATCCCTGTGGGGTGGAGGGAGTCTGAGGTCTCATAGCCCAGGATTTAAGAGGCACAACCTGTAGCGAGGAGCTTGGACTTTGGGAGTTCGAGTGGCTGAATAAAATCTTGGGCCCTTGGGCAAATCACTGACTTCCTTAGGCCTCAGCTTCCTCATCTGTAAACTCAGGATGGGGCTAACGAGTTTTCTGCTTTATGGAGGTAGTATGAAATTTAATTATTATTTGTAGAAACTCTCGGAACTGATACAACAAGAAACATGTGTTAGTGAAATAAATAAAATAAAATAAAATTGGAGGGGAACACTGCACAAGGGCTCAGCCCACAGTCAGGGGGTGTATACTGAACATGGGAACCGAGAAGGGTGTGCTCATTTCCTACCGCTGCTGTAAGAACTACCACAATTTTAGCAGCTTAAAACAACACAAATTTGTTTCCTTACCTGTCTCCATGCCTTTGCTTCTTCTGAAGGCTTCAAGGGAGAATCCATCCCCTTGTTCTTTCCACCTCCAGGGGCCACCTGCCATCCCCTCTCATCACCTCACCCTGTGGTCCCTTCCTTCTGTTCTTTTTCACCCTCCTCCTCTTCTAAGAACCCTGCGATTATACTAAGTGCAACTGGAGAAGCCAGGATAATCAGCCACAAGAAGGTCCTTAATCACATCTACAAAGTCCCTTCTGCCATATATAGTCACACTCACAGATTCTAAAAGGACATGGCACCTTAGGAAGCCATCATTCAGTCCCCCTGGGGATGATGCAGATAGTTTGTTTTTGTTTTTCTTCCGGTATCAGGAATCAAACTCACGACCTTGTGCTTGCCAGGCAGGTGCTGTGCCACTGAGCTAAATCCCCAGCCCCTGCTGATGCAGATAGTAACGAGTACCTATGTATACATGCCCTCTGTGCTGGGTCGAGCTCAGTGCTGTATGCACATCATCTCACCTAACTCCTGCAAAGCCACAGGAGAGAAGGCTATTATTATTCCAGTGTCTTTTTAAGTCTTTTTGAGACCAGGTCTCGCTATATAGTTCAGGCTGGTCTTGAATTCACTTTGTAGCCCAGGCTGGCCTCAAACTCACAGCTATCCTTCTGCCTCAGCCTCCAGAGTGCTGGGATTACAGACATGTGCCACCATGCCAGGATTTTTTTATTTTTATTTTTTGAGACAGGGTTTCGCTATGTCATTCAGCCTGGCCTGGACTCACTATGTATCCCAGCCTGGCCTTGAACTCATAGCAATCCTCCTGCCTCAGCCTTCTGAGTGCTGGGATTACAGGTGTGCGCCACCATGCTCAGTTATTCTAATTTCACAGAAGCTCCGAGAGGTTAAGAAACTCTTCTAGGTTCCCCAGCATATAAATAGTAGAGCTAGCATTCAAGCTGAGGTCCTGTAGACTCCAGACAGATTTATCCTGTTGGTTCACAGATCCCTGCCTTAGGTCATGGTGTGCAGGGCTTAATAGCACATCTGCCCATTATGGGCTGCAAAAGGAAGGGGAGGAGTTAACTCTGGGAAGTGGAACTGATCTTCTCTCCATCCTTAGTCCTAAGGTCATTTCCCTATAACCCCTTACCTTGAAGGGAATATCCAGGCCTTCAGAGGTCACCTGGGGGGCTCCTACCAATCTGTAGTCAAGGCTTGCAACCTTGTCAATCATCACTGTGACTGTGAGACAGGAAAGGGCAGGCTGTGAACAGAGCAGCCAAATACAATTGTGCAAGTTGTATATTGTACATCTCCAGGGAACTTCATTCACATGAACTATAGTCTTTCTAAAATGGAAACAGGGCTGGGGCTGATCCATGGTAATTTCAACCATAGAGAGACATTGCCTCATTTATTCAGTATTTTATTGAGCACCTTCTATATGCCAGGCATAATACAAGTGGCTGAAGAAACCACTGTGTAAGATAGTCAAAGTCCCTGTCCTCATGGAGTCCAGAAGGGAAACTTGAGCAAATAAATGTACAATTGCAACTGTGATAAGTGGAAGAAGTCCATGGAGTGATGCCATTCATGTAATAGTAGGGCAGAGTGGGGATTATTAACTGGCTTGGACAAGGAGTCAAAGAAAACTTCCTTGGGAGGTTTTGCCTGGGCTGGAATCTGAAGGGTGTAGATGCTGACTGGGGAAGGGGTGGATGTAGGGAAGTGCTCCTCTGGCAGAGGGAACATCAGGATCTAAGAGTGCATGGCAGGAGGGAGCTTGGAGTATTAGAGGAACTGATGGGGCCCAGGGTGGCTGGCTGAGTCTGGGTGTCTCTGTTTCATTAAAGCAGATGGAACACAGACAGCACGTGCTTCTCCCATGGACTTGTAATCCTCTACCCACCTTGTGATCCTACCAGGTATCTCCCCTTGGGCCCCCCATTGCCAGAGAACAGGCCCCCCAAAAGAGCCCCGCTCTAACTCTGTAGGAATGGAAGAATTTCTCCAGGGCTGCCTGGGAGGGATGGTTCCAGGGTGACCTAGTGTCATGGTGTCTGATGGCACCTAGGCAAGTTGGGAGGGGTGCCTCCAAACCTGGCAAAGTCCTGAGATAGGGCTCCAGGTAGGAAGTGGTGGACTTCCTGACCATCTCGCAGATCTGCCAGAGGGAGAGAGAAAGCTAGTGAGTCCTTCCTCTGCTGCTCTCCTCAGCAATGCCCAGTCCCCAGCTCCACCTCCAGGAGGTACCTCTGCAACCCAGCCCTCAAAGTACCTCTGAGTGTATGCTGGGAAGGGTCAGAGAACATGTTAAAATGGAAGAAGAGGCCACTGTCCCCATCAATACGTAGCACTTGACCACTGCAGCACCCAGATTAAATTCTACCACCCATTCCCTGACCCTTTTGGCTCCTCTTCTTGCTCAGATCCTGAAATCTTGCCAGCTCCTGGTGCTATGGGAATAAGAGGGCTCCATCAGGGAGCGTGGCATCTGATCTGCAGGAAGTGCTGACCTGGTTACTAGCGGGAGCACAGCAAAGCCAGAAGAGGGCTCAGCCTCAGAATCCCAGTTGTCATTGGCTACTAACTTGTTCCTGGGTAAATTATGGAATTCTAGGCTGAGGATGTCAGAAGCTGCTAGTCTGGCAACCTCCCATCTTTAGCAGTTCCTATACCATCTGCATCATTTTGCCTTTCCCACCTTTACCCTCTCTATTATTTACTTAATATTTTCTTTATGCCAACTGGCCTTTTCAGGTGGACAAAATTTAATAAAAAATACAGAAGCTTCATATCATTCTTTTTGATGAAAAACTAGTAGTCCTTGGCATAAACAGGATATAACTGGGAAAGTGAATACTGTTTAAGGGATTAGAAAAAAAAAGTGTTCTGGAAGACTGGCTAGATGCTGCTGCCTAGTTAGGCAATCTCCTCTTTGTTAGAAAAAATGATTCAGGACACATTAGTCTCATACTGAGACTTTCTGTCTTTGGCATGAGAAGAGAAAGAAGACTGCAAAGGGAATTGCTTATTTATTCTGTCATTCTGAAAAATGTAATACCAAAGCTTCAGATCACTTACAATCAACTCTCTGTGGGAAGCTTCTTCATTTTGAGAGCATTGTTCTAGTGCAAAACTCTAAGGCAGCCAAAGGCTCCCTGGTGGAACTAGGCTGGCTTCCCTGGAGTACCAAGCCAAGGCAGCACTGCCCAGGGAGCCAGCCTCCCAGGACATGGTCTTATCCATCTTCTTCCCCATCCCCTCACTAGAGGTCCTTTCTATGGAACCACTTGAAGCTCTGCACTCAACAGCTCTATGGGAACTGAAGCCAATGACCACAGTTGGCTCAGCCTCTCTAGCACTTGCCTCATTCCCCAGGACATGTAGTATCCAGATTCTTCTGTCCTATGTTCCTTATGTTTGGAGAGCAAAGATCACACACATTCAACTGGTGGGGAGCTTAGCTGGGTATGAAAATAACCTCACCCATTTGCCCAACTGTTGGTCCTAGGCATTAACAATATCACATCTCTTGGTCTTCACAGCAGGGTAAATGTCATGATTATTCCTATTTATAGACAGGAATCCTAAGGCACAGGGAGGTTCAGTTAGTTATCCAAGACTTCACAGCTATAACAGTGGCAAGCTGGGATGTAAACCACAGCATTTAACTGCTGAACTTGCGGCTCAACACTGAAGAGCGAAGAGGGTGAGTCGTAGTTCTGAAATGGTAATAATGCTGGCTACTCCAAACACAGTTTGTGTTCCAGGAACTCAGTGTGGTTATCTAATTGTACTCTTGCCAGCTCTTTTCAAGGTAGGGGCCACTTTCCCCCTTTTGAAAATGAGGAGACTGAAGCTCCAGTGAATTCATTAAGTTGCCCCAAGATACAGAGCGGGTAAATTGAAGAGGCATCTGCCCACCTCCATAGACCAAGCACTTTTCAGAAGTGAGTGATTTCAAAAGCCATGGCCACTGCTCTTCTCAATACGGTGCATTGGGGGAAGGGTCATATTCCTAGGTGAGAAAGATATTCTAGGTTTCCTCCTAAAATATTTGAAAATTTATTTTGGCATTTAAATCCTTGCGCCTCCTGATTGATTTTTTGTAAGATGCGAGGGAGAGATCCAAAATCATTCTCGCCAATATTTCTCTAATATTGCAATTAGATAATCAAATAAGACTTTGTCAGTTCAATTAACACTAACTTGGGAACTGACATTTGCCTTAGCATTATGCAAAAAGATTTTGCTAAGCAAACTCAAACAGCAGCATACTTAGGAGAGAAGGCTCTTTCCAAACATCCAATATGTAAATACCAGTGATTCATGTGTTAATTACCAATCTGCTTATCCTTTTGTTTACCTTTTGTTGCAAGACCATTTTGATATTGTTTTCAATTCTTTCATGGAAGAGGTTTAGGATCCAGCTAGAGAAAAGGAATGGGATGATCACGTTTTATATATATA